GCCTTCTTCTCCAATTCAGCTGCCACCCGAACAGCATTCACGTCCAGCTTCATCAATAGCACCTACATCAAAAATGTAACCACGTAGAGTCAAATTCTGTGGACATTTCTGCAATTGGTACATAACACCTTGTCTCCACACAATCGATCCAAATCTTGATCAGTGCATTGCGCAGTATAGCAAGTCTACCACACGTCAGAATCAGCAGCAACTACGTAGTTTACCAAACAAACCACTTCACGACATGAAATTGACTGACTGGTGCGACTCGTAGGGAAGTTATGGGAAGTTGAGCCCCCTATGGGAGATTCTATTGGATCCAGCCACCCTCAGCCACCCTGCGTTCGTCGCACCAGTCAAAACCGACGTGACCGGGCCGATGGATCTCTCGATGAAAACTGCTACGTGGCCTGCGACGTGGCTCCGAAAGTCACAAGTGATCGGTCACCATCCGAGTTTTCTGGGAGAACCTTCCAACGATTCCCAAATTGGGGAATTGACATCCAAAAGCACCCAGAACTGGGCATTCTCTCAGAAAGCAGCTTGATTCAAGCAGAACTTTGCCTCCTCTGAGTCGCGAGGTTGGGGCGAACCTGTGCCGACTGTGCCGGGCTGTGTTTCGACTGTGCAAATCTGCAGAATCCCAAACAAACCACTGGACAAACACAACACTGGAGGTCTAGCAGTGCACCAAGAAATGACCTGGCAACTTTGCCCCCAAAACCTTAGCGGGACCAAGGTGACCTATCTGATCCTCCAACACCTGCGTCTCTTTTGCCAAGTTGGAAGAACCAATGCCAATCAGTGGAACCGGTCAAACACATGAAATCCTCGTCCTTTTTCGGGGTGCCAGACTCGGTCGCTGTCCCACTTTCCGTCGCGACCGATATGAGTTGGGCCTTCGTTCTGGTTGCTGTGTTTTCCGCTATGCGCATAGCTGCGCGAACTCCAGGATTTACGGAGGAACGTGCGTGGTTTGAGCGCCCCAGAAATGGACCTCTGCAGATTGCTGCAGTTCTCAGCGGCCTCCCAGTCCTTTTGCTGGGACATGCCGACCAGACTGGGAGGTTTGGACGAATTCTGGGAGAACGGAGGTGGCACAAAGGATAGAATGACATCATCCCCCATACATCTGGCGGCAGTTTGCTACATCTATATAGCGACGTCTGATCTGGCCGAAGTGAATCAGCTTCTAGCTATGACGTGTGGATTGCCTCTCTTACAGTAAGTCTTATATGAGCACAATCCACACGCCTTAGCTCCGCCCATAGCAAATTGAAGGGAAGACCACTCGGCAGGGCCTCCGCTGAAAACCAGCGGTGGTGGTAGTAGTAGTAGTAGCAGTAGTAGCAGCAGTAGTAGTAGGTAGTAGGTAGTAGGTAGTACGTAGTAGGTAGTAGGTTGGACTGTAGGTAGTGGTGGTGGCAGTAGTAGTAGTAGCAATAGTAGCAGCAGTAGTAGGTAGTAGGTAGTAGGTAGTAGGTGGTAGGTAGTCGGTAGTAGGTAGTAGGTCGCTGGATCAGAATAGACAACCATTGGACTGAGACATGTCGATCGCTGGATCAGAATAGACAACCTCTGATTCGGATTCGTTCCATTTCATTGTAAAACGACTTCGCTTGAAATAAACATCAACAAACTCACCCAGCCAAATGTGCACCTCCAATGCACCAACAAGTATGATTGAGCAGGGTATTGTATCATTAAGCTGGCTGCCAATGCGGGCTCGAGCTGGTGGCCGGCGGCATGCCGAAGGCTGTAAATATCTCTGGTCTATCTTGACTCTTCCGGAGTCTCTTTATTTCAATCCGCCAAACAAACACCATCAAACACCTCATCTTGGAGAATGGCTCCACTTTTGCCTTCTGCCTGATGACTCGTGGCCCTATTCCAGCGGCCCTCGCCTCCTCGCGCCCTCGCCCCCTCGCCTGCGGATGCGGAGGAGGTGCTCAGCTTGAAGTCCTTCAGGTCCTGACCAAGCGCCGCTCTAAACGGTCTGAAAACACCGAAGGTCAACCGAAGATCGTTTGGAGCCCGTCACCTGAGAGAAACCGTGCACGGGGCTCCCAGGTGGCTCCCAGGTGGCTCCTACGGATTTTGACTCACCCACATGTTGAGAAGAGTTTGTTCCTTGAAAGGCCACTACTCACCACTCGCCTTCGACTCACGTGAGATACGTGAGAACATTTGATGGCTGCCATCGATCTGCGATACCCCCCGTCGATCAGCACGTGTTGTCCCAAACGCTTGTGGCTTTGGGTATCTTCTGTATGAGCCACACCTGTGCCACACCGGAAAAGCTGAGACTCCTGTTGGTGGTTGATAAAGCAAACAGTCTTCTCCCGGCCGTTCTATCCACGAACGGTCTATGGCCACCCCCACAGTACTTGACAACAGGCCAGAAAACCTACAGCATTTAAAAGCTTCTACAGTCACTATGGAAACCATGGGCACTTGAGTCATGTTGCGGAGCCCTAGAAGGCAAAAAGGGTAGAGAGCAACAAAATAAGCCAAGTCAAGTTGATGAAGAGACAACTACCCTGCCACAAGTCGTCCTTTGTTCGCTGAGAAGAACTCAATCGGGTTGGTGTTGTTGTCTTTGAAAAACATCATCAACTCAACAAACCTCAACCTCAACAATAAAACAAAGAACTTGAACACTGGTCACTGGTCCAACCACAGCTAGCTCCTCCGGCAAAGGCCTTTCAGCTTCGGGACCTAATCATTATGTTTTCTGCTTCGAACATAAAACATACAACAAAACACCAGAAAACATATATGTATATTATCTATATATATATATATATACATGCACTTCTGAGATGGTGCTGCCGCGAAACGATGTTTTGTGCGGGAGATGTAAGTGAGATCCAACATGAGGTGACACAAAAGTCACTGAACATACAAATTCCATGTAATCAATTCAATTATTTGCTAATTACAAGTACTGCCGACGAACCACAAGAGATGCCATTTTCATGTTGTGCATGCAGCGGCTGCCATTTGAGTCCGTCGCTCGATGGCTGTCGAAGACCAGATAAGGATACCTAAGATTTGCGGATTGCAAGACAAACCTTTCAACGAGATACGGTATGCTTGTCCCTCGACCGAAAAGGACGGGGTAACGGTATGGGTAATAGCATGTAATAGCGGTTTGCTGAGTGTTGATCAATAGAACTCCCCGCAAACTAACATGGAACCTGAGAATTGACCGGTGGTATCGAACATCGTGTCCGACTGTCTGGTGTACACCACACTGTCTCCGGTCGGCGAGATCGGAAGTTTTCGACCTGAAAGACCCGTCTCTTGCGGCAACGGACATCCGTTTTTGCCTACGGAATCAAACAAGTATACGGCCAAGCTTCTACTTACTAAGGGTTGAGGCGCATCTATCAAGAATAGCCACACCACAACTAACCACATCACAAGCAACCCCATTATTATATATGCTTCACGTGACAGTCAAGGACCCTTGTCCAAATGGTTGACGATATTCTGCCATGGCAGAGCAAAGATGGTGTTGGATCACGTCCGCCTTCACAGAAAGTCTGGCAAACAGTAAATATATAGTAAATAGTCCCAGTATTTCCTTGACAATGAGATCATATGAGATCAACATACAGTAGATCAACCATATCCACCGATGAAACAGCTGCAATTTCCAACGTTGAATACTTAACCCCCCAAACCCATAATATGACATACTCCAGCCACAAAAAAAAAACAAGAAATCCACATGCTTCAACAACCGGAAGAAGCTGTGTCTGTGTGTCCATCCTTCTCGGACGACCGCCAAACGGCCAAGGAACCGCAACGGCTCGGCCTTCACTCCCCACGGGCGATGGGCCATCGAGCTGTAGGGCCTGACAGCTGCCACTCAGCGGTCTCTGTAGGGATTACTGACTTCACTCCCAACTGATTGATGGCGAGCCTGGCGAGCCGCCTGGCGAGCCGGCTAAGGGTTTAGGGTTGAGCGATCGTGAAAAAGAAGCCGCCCACGCAAAGGGGCGCCAGGGTTTCAATCCGATGTATATGGGTTTCAATGGGTTTCATGTTTCTTCGTATTTGACTCATCCCTCTTTGGATCGCAAATTGGTAGGTGAGATCTGATCTGTATTTGCCTAGCTCGAAGCTAGTCGAGTATTGAAACATCCATGGCCTTGTCCATCTGCTGGAGCAGCTTGGAGACAACCTCAGAAGTTCTAGGCATTAAACGGAAGGTTGAAAATCAAGAAACATAGACTTCTACGTCGGTGGTGCAACTTGCTGGAAAGAGGACTAGAAGCAGCACAAACAAGGCTTCCAGTGGTTCAATGCGGTTGATTGGCTTCCAGTGGTTCATTGCGGCTTCCAGTGGTTCAATTCCAAGAGTGGTGTGGTCTTCACTTGTGCCGGGCACCATACACAGCCACGAGCTGTCAAATGACTTTGCAACCTCAAATAGTCGGGTGTTTTCGCGTGTGTTTGCTGCAGCAAGCCTCTTTTTCCCATCAAAAACGGCCGGGGATTTCTGCAACAGAACCCACGGGGCTGGTCCCCGTGTTATCCGCAGAGCGGCAGTTGGGTTGGGTGCGGCTGATCCGCTAGGTGGAAGACAGAGCTACAGTACTCCCACCGCCGAGGCGTGTGACTTCAACAAGTCCGTACCGAGCTCAAGGAGGTCATCAACTTTCATCAACTCCAATATATATAATATATTATATATATATTCAATACCAGCACGCTTTTCTGGTACATAAATTAAATCTACACAAAGTAAACAAAAAAAGACTTGAGCAGGAAAAACTAAAAGCTCTTCAGCTTTTAGTAGGAAGAGTACAAGCTCTGAAGCTTTGATGCTTTTCAGCCAGCGGAAAAGGTCCATCCTAGATGATGCACCCTTTTCGACCAGCTTCTCTGCATCAGGGAAAATGTCTGGTACCTGTGTACTCAGGACGGAAAAAGAAAGCGCCGTTGGTCAGCATCTCAACGAGTATCCAACGACTGATCTCAAGAGCTTCTCATGCGGAACCGAAGTCCCTCCTTCGCTTGTTCGCCACTCGCTGTTCAAGGACGTGCGGGGCGTGCTGCAGTGCTTGCAAGAAAACCTTCATTTGCAGTCCTTCGTCACTGGAATCTTGCGCCAAAGATCTCGTAGATCTCATTGAACCCACCATTCGGGGAATCTCAAGCTGAATAGTTTCGGCTTCCTGAAATGTTACACTCCTCTTGAATTCTGTCGTCTTGCCTGTGTGAGAGATCACCATGCTCTCCTTTTGACGCATTTGGCCAGTGCACACAATCTCATCATGTTGAGCAGCGCCGCGACTGCTGCAGCACCCCATCACGATCCAAGAATCTGGTAGCACAACTCGCGAGCCAAAGAGCTCAGAAATCGGTCCGTCAAGTATTACAATAGGGAAATCATCCTGGTAGTAAAATGCAAAAAAAGCATCATCTTGGGTTAGTGGATGGGTGTGTCAGTGATCTTAAGGCGGCGCCTGGCAGTGCCGAAAAAGGCATTTCACGATATTTCACGTCACCGACCCTCGGCTGCCATGGCTGGCAAACATCGGAGCAGCATAACCCAGTCTTTTTTCAGGCACACGAAAGCCGGACTAGCCCAGGCTGGACAGCCGCAGCTAGTCATGGAAGAGATCTGCATCATCTGGACATATTCAAAACTCACTAAAAGCCATTCAGCCTTTAGCAGGAAAAGCTAAGAACTCTTCAGCCTTTAGCGCGAAAACTGCAAGCTCTTCAACCTTGAGCAGGAAAAACTAAAAGCTCTTCAGCTTTTAGCTTTGAAGCTCTTCGGCCTCTAGAAATCTTTAGAAGATGAACTGCAAGCCCTTGTTGAGCAGGAAAAACTAAAAGCTCTTCAGCCTTTAGCAGGAAGACTACAATCGCTCTGAAGCTTTGATGCTTTTCAGCCAGCGGAAAAGATCCATCCTAGATGATGCACCCTTTTCGACCAGCTTCTCTGCATCAGGGAAAATGTCTGGTACCTGTGTACTCAGGACGAAAAAAGAAAGCGCCGTTGGTCAGCATCTCAACGAGTATCCAACGACTGATCTCAAGAGCTTCTCATGCGGAACCGAAGTCCCTCCTTCGCTTGTTCGCCACTCGCTGTTCAAGGACGTGCGGAACATGCTGCAATGCTTTCAAGAACACCTTCATACGGAGTCCTTCGTCACTGGAATCTTGCACCAAAGTGTGAAATTGGCTGCCTAAAGTGACCGAAAAAAAGCGAAATGCGCTCGTCTTTCCGATCTCGCGTCATGGCTTGAGCCACGGGTCACGTGGCAAGTGAACATGGTCGAAGCATGGACACAGCTACGATCGAGTCTCCTGGCCACCTCGAACCTCGTTTTCAGACCGATCTTTCTTTTGTGGAGTGAGATCGTAGCTGCGACCCTGCATGACCTCGGTGAGAGGGCCAGGCTTCATAGCCTTCGTAAGACAGTCCGCAGGCATACGGTCTGTGCTCGTCCAAACAAGGCTTGTCGTCCGGTCAGGCGGAATGTGATCCGTCAGGAGTGGATCACCCAGCAGCTCGCCCGGCCGGCGCCAGATCAACTGACGTGTGGCGCTGAGGTCAATGGCCAACCTCTTATCCTGGACACTCTGGAGTCCAGGATGTGCGACATGTTCTGCCAGAGAGCAGCAATCCGTGTAGAGGTTCATCTTCACCTGATCTTGAGCTGCTATCTGCCATTGCCGTAGGTCTCGGCCATGATCGCTCCAAAGTCCATGGAAGACATACCTCATATGCTCACATTCTTCCATGCCAGCGATCATCGAAAGAGTCTCCGCTTGGAGAGTTGACCTGCAAACTCGGCGAATGCAGGTGGAGTGCCAATCAAGTAGCAGCAGGTTGCCCTCATGTGTGTGCTGGTAGGACTCATGGGCCAAACACATCAAGCGGCCACTCTGACTCCGCAGTCCCAATCTCTTGCCGCTTCCACTGACATCAGCGTCATTGGCAAAAGAAGCGTCCTGGATGCCAATGATCATGCTTTCCTCAAACTTGAAGGGCTTCAGTGGATAGCTGATGCCAACATCTTTGCTGCCTCTTGCAATCTTGACAATGCCGTTGGCAAAGATGACATCACTGAAAGTCGCTTGCGACACATTGGACTGCAGGTAGCTCGCAGCATACGAAAGGTCAGGGCGACAAACACGGGCCAACCATGCCAAGCTGCCAATGATGCTCCTTAACTGATCTTTAACATGATCTGGCACTCGAGCATCTTTTGCTTTACGCTGCTCTGCAGACAAGTACACTGGCCGAACTCGGTCGATGAGGCTTGGACAACTGATGTGGACTCCAGTGTCATCTTTCTTGATCTCGCGGCCACAGTACTTAAATTCATTCTTGGAGAGCTTTCCAAACTTGTACTTCTGGCAGATGGCTTCCATTCTGTCATTGATCACCTTGCCGCCTGTCCAGAGCAAATCGTCCACATGGACGATAACTAAGCCTTCCAGGTAGTCGCCAGTCTTCAGGCTGTAGGCGGCTGCCTCATGTGGAATGGCGGTGAAGCCTTGCTCCAGCAGAGAGCTGTGCAGGTTCTTGAACCAACCTCTTGGTGCATCTTTGGTTCCATACACGGTCGATGAGACCATGTAGTAGCGACCGTCAGGTTCTCCAGGAATTCCTCCACGGGGCATGGAGAGGATGAGTGTCCTGTCAAGCTTGGAACCTTGAAGAAACGCTGCACTGATGTCTCCGGTCCACAAATCAACATCTCGGCAGGCTGCCAAGATGAGAGAGAGCGACAGCATAGGCATTGAGCAAGTAGGGCTGTCTGTCCTCATCTGAGAAGCATCTTCGAGGTCGCCTCTCACAACAAGTCGTGACTTCAGCATTGGATCTTCGGTGACCTCTGCCTTGTCGACGTCCACCCATCGAGTGGGAATCACCCGTAGGCCTGGGATCTCCTTCTTGAGCTCCTGAAGTTTCTCTTCAGTCAACCATTGGCCATCGGTGTATTTTGTCCAGTTGTCCCACTCTTTTCGTCTGGTGCCGTCGAGCTTCTCTTGGACCTCCTTGGACTCTTTCTCATAGACCAACTCACGCCCAGCTCCAGCTTTCTTAGTTCTTTGCGCCTTCTTTGCCTTCTTCTTGACACAATGTTCTTGGCGCCCCATCAAGAAAGCCAGTGAGGGAGGTTGCCGAACACATTCATCATAGACATGATTCGATCTCGGCGGAGTGATCCCATCAAGCCGGTCAGGATCTAGGCGAAGTGCTTGGGTCAAAGGGGTTACAGACGGTGGCACTTCCTGTTCATGAGCTTCCGGCGTCACTCCTGGGCTCACTTCGAATTCAGGTTGCAAGCTGCTCGTATCGCTCGTGCCAGAGTGCTCCACTGGGATATCTTCAGCATTTTGCTCTAGACCCGGTGGTGGAGACAAAGGGCTCGGACTTGTTGAAGAGTCCTGTGCCACATCCTCTGGTGAGTCATCGTCCATCAAAGCTTCTGGGGTAGCAGCTATTCCAGGAGCAGTGACATCTGTTGCAGGCTCTGCAGCAGGTGCTGCAGGCACAGTGGGCATGACACCCACATGTCCGTGATCTTGTAGATCAACGAATGGAGCTTGTTGTTCCGTCCTCTGCCTCAAAGCACGGGCTTCATCTCCATCATCAGCGAAGGGAAGGTAGTCCTCTTCTTCAGGGTTAGAGGAATACAGTTCACGCTTCCTCTTCCGTGCAGGACGTAGCTCCAAAACATGCTTCTTCAAAATCTCCTGAGTTGAGGCTGGTCGGCATGAAGTTTCAGCAACAAGCACAGTGACACCTCCATGTACCAACCACAGCGAAGACTTGCCCTCTGTTGTCAACACTCTTGCTGGCCCATACCACTTGCCCTGTTTTGAGAAACAAACCAGATCACCAGTGTGGTAGGGTCCTCTGATGGGCACGGCTTTCCTCAAGAGTGCGCGCCTGATGCGCTGAGAGCTGTCAACTTGAGTGTACATCTCTTTCGCTGTTTGCCTCATCAACAATTGCAGCATGAATTGTTCTTGGGGAGTCTTCTCCTCGGCATCAACCAATCCTTGGCGCACGCCCAAGTGGTTCTCCGGGTCCTGGTCCGTCAAGCTTGAAAGGTCTTCAGGAGTATGGCCAAGAACCCATTGCGCCGGTGAAAAACCTTGATTGTTCACGAGGACATTCTTTGCTCTGGCACATTCTGAGCACAATGCGGCAATCACAGAGGATCCAAAAAGTTGACGATCATGGATACCTCTTTTCATCATCTCTTTGAGCATGCCGCCATGCCTCTCGGCAGTTCCCAGCTGGTGAGGTGCTCGTGCTCCAACACGACGGATCTCTGTGCCTAAGGATTGAAGCAATGCTGCAACACGTCCTCTGTTGTGAACTCCTTGATCGCAAACAAATGAACGAGGTGCTCCTGCCCATGAAAGCCAGCTGGCGTTGATTGCTTCAGCACAAATCTTGGAGGAAGGTGTGCCTCCAGGTGCGACTCTGACTGCCACGTGGTAGTGCGTGGACATGTCCAAGAGAGAAAGGATGCTGTGTCGTGCACCTTTGCAATCAACCACTTCAAAAACATCAGCTGCCAGCTCGTCATTGAACTTGATCTGATGGCAGGGATTGATGGGCCTCACTGTCCTCGGACGCTCGTCGGACTTCATCTCTTCACAGCTCTGGCATCGAAAGTGTTGCGCGGCATCAATGACCTCCTTCTTTGCCAAGGACATGCGAAGCATCCGAACCAAAGCTTGGTTGCTGCAGTGACCCATCATCTGGTGCAATCTCCTCACTGCGATCCGTTCATCTCGGCTGATCTTCAGCCACTTTTCTTTTCTGAGCTTCTCCTTCTGGTGCAGGAGGTCGTCCACCACACGATCTTGCGACTGCTCATGGTCCTCCTCGGTGTCGAGGGTGTTGAAATCAATGCGCCTCCTCTTGTGCACTTGCTCAGCGACATCATCCAAGTCGTGGATGCCGTCCATGTAGTCGGTGCCCTCACGTTCTTCCTTCTCGAACTCCGCAGGGAAGGCATGTCGAATGACTTGCGACTTCATCTCTTCCAGGGCACTCTCTAGGATGGCCTTGCACATCTGTTGTGGCCATTGCTGAGCTCTCTTGGTCTTGTTTCCTTCAAGTTGTTCGTGATGATGTAGTCCATCACATAGTGCACAGAGCCTTGCTTTCATCCTCGCCGAGGAAAGGAGCATGCCAGTGGCCTTTTGGTGTGGTAGACCACCTTCTCCAACTAAACCATACATGCATTGGTCCAGTCGAATGAGCTCCAATGGCTCTCCAGTCATTTGGTTCCGGAGCTGCTTGTCCATCATGTCCGTGAAGCACTTCAACTGCCAAAGAAGTGAGGGCCAGGGATTTTCCAGGAGAACTTCACGGCCAAGTTCAAGTCGGCGCTCCACAAGCTTTGCAATCCAAGCAATGACTGGATACCATTCTTTTCGATTCATCATGATCTTGTCATGGATCTCCTCGCTCTTGGTGGCATTGAGACGTTGCCAAGATGACCAGGGCGCGCACAGTGGTGAGAGTGTCAAGAGGTAGGGATCATCGTCTTCGATCTCCTGCCAAAGGCGATCACGATTGGCCTTCTGCAAAAGGTCGTAGCGCTCATCAATCTCGATGTCCACTGGTGCGCTGATGCTCAGACCCATGGTCACGGCCAATAGGCTCAAAGTGGCTGCTCCAGCAAAGATCTCCTTCATGAAGGAACGACAGCCACGAGGCAACATCTTCTTGTGCCTTTTGGTCTCTCCCTGCAACGTGCTCCACATGGCGCAGTCCTCCTTCTCCATGTCATCCAGGCTCGCGCAAAGCATCTTCTTCTGACCTTTGCTCAAAGTCTTGGCAGAGCATTCGTGTAGCGGAAGATGTCGTTCACTGGCATCGGTCTCATTGGATGCCGTCTCATTGGAATCTCCGCTGTTGGTGACATTGTCTTCGGAGTCTGTCAGGTTCTCTTCATGGACCTTCGTGCCAATGTCAATCGCAGGGACTTCATTCTCCTCCGACACATAGTCCTCTGCAAGAACCATTGCAATGCCTTCATGGTTCTCGTCACCAGGATGGAGCCTCAAAGCTGGAAGTCCATTCAAGTTCACAATCTCCAGCTCCTTGTCGAGGGTCTTGCTGTAGGCGGTGTACTCGGACATGTCCAGAACAAAACCAAGTGACTTCTGGGCATTTGAGCTCAAGAGCAACGGCGTGTCCGAGTTGTCCAGCTCAATGGAAGTGATGTTTCCGGGAACCAGCTCATCGTCCAAGGTCTTCATGCAAACAGGAATGGATCTCTTCCCGGACACTTCCACCTTACCGCCGACTCCTCGAAAGCGGCCTTCTGCAGGCATCAGCTCTGGCTGCATTCCAGTGTAGCGCATGAACTTCTCCATCCATCTCGATCCATGGCAGGTGTTGTTGCAGCCAGTGTCGAGGATCACATAGAGCTCTTCCGTCTCCGTCTCATCGCTCACCATGTAGGCAGAACCAGATTCCTGTTCTTTCATGACCTTGCAGTACTTGGCGAACTCAATCAAGCAAGGATCCTTCAGGTTGCCATTCTCGAACTTGGTGAGCGTCGTCTTCACATAGGTCTTCTCGTAGGAGTAGATCTCCTGGAAGGTGTGTCCCTTGAAGGTGCCATTTGCAAAAGTCTTCCGCTGGTACACCTTGAGATCAATGTGATCAGAGGCTGAGGGACTTCCTTGCGATCGATCACCTCCAGGATCAGGCACAGCTGTTGAACCACCTCCGAACACAGCTGACTTGCACTTCTCATAGATCTTGTCCAGGGTGTTGACCGAAAGTTCACCTCCAAGATCCTTCTGCAGCTCAACAGACACAGAGAAGAGTTCCACAATCCTCTGAGCATGGGGCACCATGCCTGAGCTCAAGGGCGTCGAGGTAGTAGTCGATGAAGTTCCTCCACCAGCTCCAGCCTGGTTGATAAGAGGTCGTTGCCCTTTTTCGACATGGCCACAGGTCTTGCACTTCCACTGCCATGTCGTGCCGGTGCTGCCACGCCAATCCTTCTCAACGTGCATACAGCCTTTTGTTGTGGTGGTTTGATCACTCACCGGCCGCATCTCCTTGTCGAGCTTCACGTATTCAAGGACCTTGCCACAATCTTTGCACTTCACCATCTTGACATGGGCATTGGTCCCGTGCTTGGTCTGATTCTTGTGCTCACACACCGGTTGCTCCGGTGCTTTGTTGGCCGAAGATGTCATAGGCCTTGTCGAGCTCATAGGCTGTTGAACCGGTAGTCGTGGTAGTCCCTGTTGGGCCTTCCAAAGCCAGCGATCCAGGCGTTCACGGTCTTGCTCATTGAAGAACGGATGACCGGGCATGAACTCATTCCAACGTTCATCATAGGCGTCACGCCATTCAGGATCATTGGGATCGTTGATCGCCGCCAGGTAGTAGTCCAAATGGGCCTTGCGCTCATCAGTGACAAGCAAGCTGTAGTCTCTGCCGATGGTGTAGCCAGGTGGTGTGTAGCCAGAGACCGGCAGGTTGACCTGGTGCAAGGTCTTCACCTGAGCTTCAGCGATCAGTCGATCCAGAGCTTCATCAGCCGTCTCCTCACGGCCATCTCTCATCACCATGTTGGCCTCGAGGTCATGGTGTTGCTCACCAGTCATGTCATCGGAGTACTCGTTGATCGTGAAGAAGACGGTGCGCGGCTTGTCAGACTTACCGCCTTTGCCACCCTTGTTGGACTTGGGCGAACTGGTAGCCGTCGAAGCAGACGATGGTGAGCTGCTGCTGGACTTGCCTTTTCCTTTCTTGTACGACCTCGGGCACTGAGGGTCGTTTGCCCAGTGTCCATGCTGACCGCACTTGCGGCACTGGGTCTTTGCCTTCAAGGCTTGAACACGGGCTTTGCGCTCCTCCATGGTCAAATGACCTTGTACTTGAAAATGTCGAGGTGAGCCGCCAAAGCCACGATGGCCAGTCTGGCCTGCACGATCCCTCACAAAGAATGCTTCGGCTTCAGTCTGCAGCACTTCAGCGGCATACTCCGCTGCTTCAGGGTCTTGTTCATCGAGGCCCTCTTCATGCATGTTCATGAAGACGGAGTGAATCACCTCATCCTCGTCATTCACGTAGGCGTAGGCCTCGTCGACGTGGTAGCCATCAAACTCCTCATAACCTCCAAGGCTCTGCGAGTGACTCTCCCAGTCCTCACAGTCATAGTACTCATCAGCAGGCTGCACGTGGTAGGCCCGGGACCAGCTGCGAAATCTGTCCTTGCCATAGCCTTTGGAGTTGAAGCTCTTGCCATAGTTCGAGTGGCGTCCAAATGAACCACCCTTCCCACGTCGGAGTTCGTGTTCATGAACTCTGCTGTGCTGCGCAACCAACTCCTCGCAGATCTTCTCCATGGTGACATCTCCATGGACTGCAGCCCTGATCAGCAATTGGTGGTCGTTGCTGATCCCTGAGTTCTGGAGCGTTTGCTCAGCGAGGATTGCTTCTGGGAGCTTCAGGCTGCTGTCCATGTCGAGCATGAGGTTGTACCATGCTTTCCGGCGAAGAACATATGAAGGAATGCTCTCGCCTTGTTGCCGCGAAAGGACTCCTCCTTGTTGCGCCCCGATCTGATACAGATCTCTTGCCTCCTGTCGTGACCTCGGTTGCAAGCTGCTCTGCAGGGCTTTGAGGAGGACGCTGGTGCCATCTTCGCCGGCTAGGCGGTCCACGGGCAAAGCTCGGGCTACTTGTAGCGCAGGACCACGGAGCCCGTCCACTAGTCTCAGAGCTAGTGGACCAAGTTTCTTGACCTCGCTCTCGTCCATGGCCTTTTCTCGAGCTTGCCTCAACCTCACGCGGAATTGGTATTCCGCCAGGCGACTGACCTCGCCGTCAAAGCGTGGTACACCAGACTTCGCTTCGGTGCTCCAAGCATCGTCTTGGGCTGCCGCAAAGGTCTGCCATCGCAGACACTCCACGATCGACATGGCGTCGTGGCCAAAGGTGGAAAAAAAGTAAGATCCCCCAAAAGGGTAAAGGGTCTCCCTGAAGGCCTGAGCCACCCAAAGATCCCCCGGAGTCGTGCTCCGCTGCCAATGTGAAATTGGCTGCCTAAAGTGACCGAAAAAAAGCGAAATGCGCTCGTCTTTCCGATCTCGCGTCATGGCTTGAGCCACGGGTCACGTGGCAAGTGAACATGGTCGAAGCATGGACACAGCTACGATCGAGTCTCCTGGCCACCTCGAACCTCGTTTTCAGAAAAGATTGAATAGATCTCATTGAGCTCTCCATGTTGGAATCCTCAAACTCAATAACTTCCTGAAATGTGACACTCTTTTTGACTTTCATCACTTCTGTTTCCTTCCTTTTGTGAGAGATCACTGAGAACACCGTGATCTCCTCTTGGTGCATTTGGCCAGTGCACACAATCTCGTCATGTCGAACTGCGCCGGTACTGCTGGTGCACCCCATCACAATCCAAGGACGTGGTAGCAAAAGCTCGCGAGCGAATGAACCGACAAACTGCAGGAAAGTAAACGCTGAACTGCAGAAACACTTGGGTAATTTATCCAAGTGCTGAGGCAGCACAAGTGTGGTGATCTTCAGTATTGAACATTTATATATCCAGCCTCATCCAGCTATTCAGATCTTCACACGAACGCTCCACCTCAGCAGCTACCTTTCGGCCGGGTCTCCCAAACATCTTCTGGCTTGCCTGAAACGAGAAAACGGTCGGAACGCGGTCGGAACGTCACGGTTTTCTCTGCAGATCACAAGAGCACAGTCTGATCACGTGGAAGACAATGGAAACAAGTTCTGGCAGAGGATGGTGCAGGCACAAACAAATGCAATTCAAGCAAAATATTGGCCCAAAGTGCTGGGTACACCAAACATATCCAACAAATTTACTCAATTTGTTAGTTCGGCACCACTGGAAGGCCGAAGATGCCTTGGCTTTTGGATCGACTCTGCAGCTCTTTGGAAAGCTCATGATGGAGCCTTGGTGATGCAATCGTGCCAACCCCGGCAAGCATTTTGTTCAGAACATGCGAATCCTGTCTGGGAAGAGACGGAACTACTTGGAACTAGGAAAACATGCTCCAATATCGGAGCTAGGAGCAAAGCTGCAGAAGGGGCCACTGAAACACGTGCTTCCAACAACACAAACTCAAGCTTTGCTTTGCACACTTCCATGTGCACTCAACCCCCCTACGCTCCGACTCACTAATATAGAAGTGGAAAGCGGCCACTGGGAAGATCATGTTCCTCTCAAACAGGTGGTTTTCCACTTCACTTCCATGTTAGTGAGCCGGAGGGTATCCATCATGGAGCGGTCAAGTTTCGCGGGTGACCTTGATTTGCTATCTATTTGGCGAGCCGAACCGTACACAGAACTATTTATATATATATACAGTATGTATGTCTGTATGTATGTGGTTGATAAAACTCTTTCAGTATGGAATGACAATGTCTTCGTGGAAAAAAAGCTTTGTGGATCTTTCTTTTGCGGCCATAAAAAGACAGAAAAAACAAAACGAAACCATGGTCCAAAGATGTCCAAAGAACATGTCGAACGTTAACATGTAATGGAGCTATGTCCTGTCTAACTCTATGCTTGAAATATCAACAAATATTGACTGGCATCTTGCAGCATGACATAGCATGACACTAGGTTGAAATACAGCTTCTAGGGTCACTTGCAGCATCTGTGATGCAGTTGCAGTTTGTGAGTGGGGACAATTCTGTATATGCTTTTTCTGTCAGGGCTGCGCCAGGGCAAGTTAGGTTGTCAGATCAGTCTGTGACAGTGGGGACAGGAATCGGAGATCGTTCGCGGACGGTGTGCAAACAGCATTTAAAAAGGTCGTTTCATATAAAACCCCGTACACACACCTTTATTAGATCAGCTCCAATATGTCAAGGCATCAAGGCATGGCTACTGGATGATAGTGGTGAGCTCTTTCATCGAAGCCTCAACTTGAGAGAGGAAGGGGTTAACGAAAGGTAGCAGGCAATCACAAGTAACCCTGGTAGAAGTCCATGACGGCGTGACCCGGCGCAGGGGGGATTTGATCCGGCCCCCCCCCCCCGACGAACAGAATCAACTCTTACAGGACCAAACTCAATGCACAATCCCAACTCCTGATTGTAATACATTTTTGCTAAAGCACGGAGAACTCAGGAAGCTCAAGCTACCTTTCGTGAATTGAGTTGCCAGCTTTCGCAGAGTGCCAAAGCACTGGGAAAGCCTGGCTTGTCCTGCAGTGTTGTCAGTGTTGGAGGCTGAGGAGAATCTCAACACCGGTCTGCCAGGCCTTCAACCCGTTTCAGCATGACACAGGTTGAAGACTCAACCGAACCTTCCCCATTGACGCAGCAAGCAAAAACCGAACCGTCCCCCCCCAAAAAAAAATTGAAGAACATGCGTCACGGTACTTGGCGTCAATCGCTTTCTTCAAACAACTCACAAAAATTGTCAAGAATGGTCACCATAGTCCCACCCCCTCGAACCTTCAACCACTTCCACCCCCTCCTGGTGCACCTTTCCACTCGGGTGGGCGAAGAGTGAACTCTTCACCTCATTCACATCGTGCTTCCGATTCAACGAAGATCGACGAAAATACATGGAGGATCCAATGGATGCCGGAGAGTCCAACGAAAAAGAAGAAGAATGGCCCAGCCATCGAGATGGCCATCGAAAAGGCGTCTTCGGAAGCTTGAAGGTGAAACGAAGATGAAGATATGCTCACCTTGTAGACTTAGCACCATTGGTTCATGGACATCTACAAGGCATAAAGACCAACCAAAAGCTTCACCTCAACACTGAGTTCTTACACCTATTTTTGAGGGGTATGATTTGGGGGTATGATTCGAGGGTATGAATCGCTCAAGTCGAACTTCCAACCACTACAGCAGAAAGTACACGCCAAAAGAATACAAACCCATATGTTTGGAATAATACCATTAACAAATAAACGCACTCCAGTAGCTCCCTGTGCCTATTGGTGCAGTATCCTTTGAGTCCATGAGGGAGGTCGTCACATCAGACTCCTGGCAAGTGCTGCTCATCCATCCCGGATGTTCATGGCCCCTATAGCCAACGTCCTCTTTGCTGACAACAAACAACATAAGCATGCAGCATGCAAACGCGAAGAAGTTCAACCTGGTTCTTCAAAGGTTTGAGGTTAACTTGTATGGCCTGTAATAGCAGTTCACTATAGTTCACTTAGATTCACTTAGGGACTCCAAAAAAGGAAAACGGACTGAAGAAGCTGGAACATGAATCATGAAATCCTCTTTCTGGGACATCTCCATGCGCATTTGCCCTCCGAAGGCTCGGTTCAAAAAGAACCGAGCAGTTCAGCTGGTTTTCTGGGTGAAACAGTATGAAACAGTGAACAGGTCTGTAAAAAAGAACCAAAACGCTCCATAACTCCACGGGCCCCACACCTCCATAGGTTTTCTCATGTTTTCTTCCCCCCAATTCCCTCCTTGCCAAATGGGTCTCCCCAATGCAGTCCCTCCACCATCCGCCGGAGGAACACGGGAACGTCTTCCAGCGCCTTCTCGGAGCTCCGTAGGGAGCCTCGGGCCTGGCCCGAGGCGGTCAGCGGCCCGTCATCGGACACGCCGGTAATTACAGTAGACCCTGAGGTGGTCTGAAAGGGTTGGTAACAATAGAACACCTGGGGTTGTACTGACTCATTGTCCCGTCATTCCACTTTGGATGTGATCCTGCTATCTTCCGAAGTCGTTTTACAGTCCTCTGACTAAATGCAACATGTAGAGTATACATGCGTGTGCACTGCATGCATCTGAGTTGATGGCGGCAAACATGATAACCGACACTAACCAACTGATCAACTGCAATGGACATGACTTTTTGAACCCCGAGAGCTTCGGCAAAGCGATGTCGCGAAGGCATGCGGAGGGCACTCTACTCCGCTTCCGGAGAGCTGGTCCATGTCCGCCCAGTGGCGCGCCACGCCGAGGTTATAATAAATGCAATGAAGTGCACGATGATATGATGCTAGGCTATACCGGTCTAAGAGGGTTCTTCTTTAACCGGTATATGATGCTGGTGAATGGAAGACGCGCATGGCATTTCGGTGTCGTTCGATTTGGAGGCGTGGAAGGCATGATGTAGGTGAGGCGTGGAAGCCAGCGCCCAAGTGCCATGTGGCAGCGTATTTGGCATGCTGGATGGTGATGGAAGCTCTATCTGAGCACTGCTCTATTACCTAGGGTGCTCCGGGTGATTCATCTGGCTGCCTCTCATCAAGAGTAAGGAGGTGATGTCTGGGACAGGTTGGTCACCCCGCAGCAACCCGAAGACGATTGAAAATGGTGGTCCGGCCCTGCTTGCTGACCACTGTGGCAGTTTTTGGCTACGCTCGGATGCGGTTGGGCTGCAATGCTTTTGTTTGGCAGCGCTCTGTGGTAATTGTGCAGCATGAAACAAACCACAATGCCAGAAGCCCTATCGCAAACGATGCATTGATGTTTCGTCGATGAGGATAAGCCTCTCGGCGCTGACTTTGTACGGGAAATCTGGAGGTCTCAAATGCATGTGAATACACACCTGGATTGCAGGCTTAAGCCCTGGGCTTTCGACTGGCCTGCAAGGAAAGGAACTTCCACATGACAATGATAACGATAACTCATGAGCTTGCCCACCTGAACATAGACATACAGTAATTACCACACCCAGTGTCTACGTCAACCTAGACTTTGAAGATCTTTGAAGCATGTTTTCTTGCGTAAGAATGAACTCTACTCAAACCCCAAGTCACCTAAACACACTCATCAATCACCAAGCGTTTGAGCAGTCCTCACGAGACTCGTATGTAGGCTCGCTGCCATCAGATCGGACCTAAGCAAAGTCAGCTCTGTTAAATGAACCAACCTGACTTAGTCAATCTTTCCTTTGTCACCTAGTCATCCTAGTCCATCCTTCCAAAAAACCAAGTAGGAACATCAAATCCAGCACTAGCATTGATCCAGGATGTTGTCCAACGACAGTTTTTGAGGCACGTGCCACTTGTCTGCGGAGCGTGGCCTAGCAGCTAGCGTCTGTCCACCCCAGTCCACCGCAAAGACCGATACGCGGGTACTGGTGCTGGGGTCAAACCATCGGTCCACTGCAGTGTTCAGCTCCTGTTCAACCAGGTTCAGTGGGCAGCCCTTTTCAATCCACGTGATCGTTGTTTCATTGAAGCAAATCCTGGATACATGGGACCCAAAGGCGCGGGGTTATCATACAATTCCATGTATTAAACATTCACACACACATGGCTGGCTCATGTTCTCACAAAATCTCTTGGACACAAAAGCACTCACATGGGTTGCAGATATGGCACGATGGCATCCATAGTTGGACCTCTTTCACTGACTCCCTCCGCCTTTCCCTGGAAGATTTATAGAGGTTGTAGAAACCCATTTTTCCCCTCTTCGTTACATTAGGAAAACCATTCCCCCAAAAAAAGTGAAAAGGACCTGAGGATGTCAAAAAGGACCTTAGGAGACAGGAATAACCTGAGGATTTAGGAGACACGAGACACCGGCACGTGACCTCCAAAGAATAGGAACGCCGAAGCAGGCGAATCCGATCCCGTCGCTCCTCGCGAGCCGAACCCCGAGGCTCCTCGCGCCTGGCACTCTTGAAGTTCCGAGCGACACGTCAGGAACTCCTCGCGGGCCAACTCCCGAGCTGCCTGGGGCAGAAGGTGTGGAAGGGAGTGCAGTCAACAACCAGTCCGGTTGAAGAAAGTCATCCATGCACCTTCCAGTGGATCTCAAAACCCTCACCTGCTTTCTTGGACCTTTTCCTTGACCGACCTTTTCGACCCCCAAATCGGATCAGCTCAGCCACCAAGCCAGCGTGCCCTTTGTTGCACGTTGTGTTCGATGTGTGAACGACCCGGCCGGGCAGCGCACGGCGCCTGCAGCTCACCCCCACGCTTCTTCGATTTGCGAAGTTGCTCCATGAGGGACTCAGCACCTGAAGTTCCAATGCACACGTGCCACCCGTGAGCACTTGTGTCATGAGGAGGCCGTTGCATGAAGGATGATACGCCAGGATGACAAAGGCTGCACATAAACCAGCAATATGCTTTCACTGCCAGGCTCCCCACGCTGAGTCATTTCACAAAGCTCTTCGCGACACAAGGTTGTCTCCCTGAGTCTTGAAAATGACAACGGCACTGACGCTAGTGTTTTTGGTTCTGTTCAGGCCATGCATATTCGATACCTGTGAGCCTGTGAGAGAAGAAGGACTTGTTCTCCTGCCTTGTAGTTAAAGATTCAACAGCGCCCACGAATGACTATGATAGCAAACACGACATCCATTCGTTGGAAAACAGTATGCGCATGAAGGGACATTAGCAGTCTTCTTCGACCGGCCCAAAAGGCGTTCAAATCGGTGCTGCAAAACAAACAGGTATTGGTGATTTTAAGTTCCAATCTGTGCTGAGCAATGACCTAGGCGGTATCGTCAATCTTGCTTTTCGAGCTTTCTTAATTCTTGGCATCATGGACAGCCACCTGTCACCAATCATCACACAACGCTCGTGTCAGAACGGACAGCGATGAATGCTGGCCAAGAGACTCGCTAGCTTTTCGCTGTTTTGTATGCTGCTCCCGGTTCCTATCAGCCTGGAGTTCACAAGAGCTTGGGAATCATCAGGAAAGAAGGCAGTCAGGTCATTGTGAGCTTCAAGGAAAAGGTTAAAGGTGTCTTGAAGTTCCCCAACAAGCTTCAAGTTGGGCTTGTCCTACAACGCTTTTCTTCTTAAGTCTAAAGTCCCAAGCTTGCTGATCCCTTGCTTTTGAAGGCTTTCAGCTACTTGCATGTCATGCTCCATCATCGTGGACCAGCAAACAAGCTGGCAGTTGAGCTAGGTTCTCGAAGAAATTGACAAATTACTTGAGGATGAGTTAAAAAGGTAATACAAGTAGCTGACAAATCAACATCAAATTATGATTAACTATATTATGGCAATTAAAAGGACACTCTTGGCAGAGTAGCAGCATCATGCGGTCAACAAATCGCTGGCAGTCCAGTTTGCCGGCAACAAAGTGTCAACAACTGGCCTGCAACTGGACGATGGCCGAGTCTCTTTGCTTCAGTTGCTGGCGCAACCTTGCTGACAGTCAGGCCAAGACTGCTCAATTCACGAACATCTGCAGGAACATCAGTCATCTTTTCCTAGAAGAACAGCTTCTTGTTGAGCCATGACTTATTCAGTTTCAGGATGCATCCGACTGCAAGAAGCAATGTTGGCCTCTTGCGATCATCACTTGCCACATGTTGTGTTGCGATAATCCTGAGAGTCAAGCTCCTCAATCTCCTTGGAAGTATGCCGGCTGCAAACAGTCGACATCTTCTGAACGAAAACACAGAAGCAAACACACAATTCCAAATCAACCACTCAATATGGAACCACAAGGTCTCCTTAAACCAGAATACCCAATTGTACAATCGCACCTTCAAACCAGCATTGCTGTGCTTGTTCGACAAGTCTCTATGTATTATGTCATGTCTACTCTACATCCCAGATTCCCATTCGCTATTTAACATGCGTTTGGATGGCTGGCAAAGCCATCCAAACTTCAGCGTTCGACTGAGTTTCAAACACAATCGATTCATACCGTGCGAATGATTGTGCTAGGATTACCACAGCTCCCATGTTTCAAGATGTTCTAAGACTTCTTTCTTACTATATCAAATATCTACAATCTATAAAAGTCAAGTTGGACCAGCCAGGCACGAATGACCCTTGTGTCAGACAAGATGCTGACACAGGGGAGCCCTCCGAAGGCGCAGGGGTGTTTTTTAACCTGGCTGTCCGGTGCGCAGTGGAAGTCACCTTGTGCGGGCTTCTGTTTGGCATGCGCGTCCCGTTGACGGGACATGTTCTGGGGGAATCCACGCCACCAAGCTGATTCACGCCACCAAGCTTCGAGTCCCCTAGAACTCTACTCGTAGCTACTGTTAGCTCCACTTCCACTAAGGGCCCTGTCCAGAGGTGGTGTCCGTTTTTTTTCCCGTTGACCCGGGTGGTCTCTCTGGGAGTTCAATCCGTCATGGGGGCACTGGGGGCGACATGACACGGGCCCGGGCGCCGTGACACCGTCAGAGGCCCGGGCCTCTCTCTTGGCTCTGCGATCTCCTTGGTGGAAACAGGGAAGGCTGCTGAAGTCTTTCAGTGAGGCAGGTGCTTTCAACTGGTTGCTTTCAACTTTCAACTCGGACAAGAATGAGTCAAGTCTTTGGACCTGTAGGGATTGGTTTTCACGACCTGGCGGGCGCAGCTCTGCTCGATCTCGCTCTGGGCGCAGCTCTGTTTCGTGGGAATCGGTCTGCGTGCCAAAGTCCAGCCGAGAGGTCTGGGCCAACGGGAGAAGTTCCACCAGCATCCGTTGCCCACTGCTCTCAGCGCAGCTGCAAGCTATGTGTAGAACAAAAGCAGTTATATAATGTTATATAAAGAGGACAAAGTCCTCAAATCCTCGGAATTCTGGAATGCTCAGCAGTGTTTTGGAGGACTTACCGTCAGGAGCTGCCTCTACCCGCGTCGTTACTTCTGCACGGTCAGACCTCCACGGTGCCGAAGCTCGGTGCTCCGGGGGCGGGTGGAAACGAGTGAAGCGAACGGAACGCCCGGGTCTGGTGGAAACGCGAAGGTGACGCGGCGTGCTGCCGAAACATCGAGATCCTCAAGAAACCCAAAAACAATACGGTGAGGTGGTTGTGTCTACATCATTTAATTTCATGATGTGTTCCGCACAGGTTTGGGTCTCCAAATCCGGTGTGTGAGCCAAGAAGTGTGAGCCGATATCACCAACAAATCCCATCTAATGGCAAGCTGCAAACCAATCTGATGGATGAGACACTCACAAACCAAAGCCATCACGTCTGCCCAACCAAACCCTGAATTGAGCAAGCATAGATATGCAATGATGTGCATAGATGCCCTGGGAGTCAGGGTTTGGCAACTCTCAAGGATGTTTTACATTGTACCAGTTTCGAGATTTCTGCTTGCACGGGAATCTTGGCCAAGAACCATGTACAAAAACTCCCACAGAGTCATTGGAAGGCAAGGGGGAGCCAAGCTCCTTCTTCCATCTTCCCAATCGACATCTATCAAACCCACTTGGGCAAACAGCACTTGGAAATTCCACTTGGTGAGAGACGCCATGCCTCTCATGCCTCGTTCGCTTCAAGGATCGAACCTGGCGCGGCCCGGCCCGGGGTGGACCTTCCATGTGACACCATGTGTTTCATATGGGTGTCCCCGGGGTCCCCCTATCCTGAATACACCACCCATGTGGGCTTGTATTGGCCCTGGAACCGAACCCAGGGGGTCGGAATGCCTGGGAGGTCAGCCCCTATTTGAGCTACACTGAGACTACTTCTCTGAGCTATCCCTATCCGACCCACATGCCTTTTGGAGGCAATTGATCTCCGCGCATCATGCAATCCTATATAACTGGTGCTGTCATTCTGTTGGTTTATGTATTGTTATTAGACTTGCCATTGCCATTGTTGGCTTGATATTGATGTTGCCACTGTGGCCTGTTGTTGTCATCTGGCTTGTCATTGTATGCATGGATTATAGTTGATGGCATTGTGTTCGTTGTTGCTGCGGTTGTTGCTGGTTGTCATCCTTGGTGGCCTGCTCTTGCTGTTTCCATTGTGGTTGTCATTTATCAACTATATAGTTATATATATATATAGGTAAGTTAATATTGGCTATATGCGTGTCATTGCACTGGTTTGTCATTGTCATCACTATTTTGGTTGTGGTTCTCAATGCGACACACTTGTCAGGGTGTCTTGTCACGTGTTCATTGATGTTGTGCTTATGCTTGTAATGTCTGCAAATAGCTGTCGCCATTAATAATTCGTAGTTGCTAGTTGCATCTAGTTGCCATTGTAGCTCTTGGTGATCTTGTCATTGTGTTTGGACCCTTGACATTGGAGTTGACGGAGGTTGGTGTTGACATGCTGGCTTGTCGGCTTGTCACTGCTCTTGCCACTTTAGCTTATAGCTGGTGTTCTTATTTTCTTTGTTGCTGTTCTTGATGTTGACCATGTATTATTGTATTTGCAGTCAATAATTATGACGCACAAATTCCCTGCCCCCCAAAAAGAATCAGCTTCTTTGTTTGGGGCTTCGTTTAGCGGCCCAGGATGCCTGCAGTTAGCGAGCATATGGCATAAGACCCTCTAACAGGTCGAAACAGATCATCCACAGCCAAGCTGTCACCAGTCATTCGAGTCGCAAGAAGTATGAAACATATTGGATAATTGGGTCAGGTCCTGAAAACAAAAAAACAAAGAGACCTGACCGGACATGCAAAACTTGTCTGTTTTTGGCACTGTACACAAAGGTCATTCATGGTTTCCGGCACCCTCTTCCACACCTCAGCTTCTGCCTGTTCGGCACGAATACGTAGTTTCCTGCGCACCAAGGAGCACATGCCGTGAGCGTGTTTGGATGCACCCGACCAGCCACACCCGAGGCTCAACTGGGGAAGAAATCCCGGCAGTTCTCTGATGCCCACAGGTTCGCCATGACCCATGGTTCTCTGATGTGGCAAGCCTTCTGACCCTCCGGCAACAATCGATTAGGTCCACACGGTTCACTGGCAAGAACTTGGCCAAGTTCAAAGATGCGCAGTCCTTTCTGTCTCAGTCTCAGCCATCCTGTCTTTGACCTGCGAACTCAGCATATGGTCACAGATTCACTTCTAGATACTGTACATCTCACGCTTCTGAACCTCAACCCACGCTCAAGAGGTCCCAGGTGTGCAACGGACAATGGCAAGTGACCCTTCCGACAAGGCTAAACTCTTCCAGTGACCCATGGGCAGTCTACCGAAAGAATCAAGTCACTTCATGTCATTTCCAATGAAACACCCATGGGTGTTGCCGTGGAAGTCTGTCCAAAGCAACATTTCCTCAAACACCGATGCCAGCAGCATCCAAGTGTTTTTTCTCAGTGCCTCCACAACTGGTATACGAAGATGGACAGCTATGAGCAAAGCAGCTGCGATGCCGCAAGTCCGGGCTCTGGTGGTAGAGAAGTACTGACTTATAGTCCAGTGTCCTATTATAGTGTACTTACCTCGTGGTAGACAAGTACTATAGTGTACAACTACATGTAGTGTCAACATAAGACATAGTGCTGACTGAATCAGATGGCTGCAAAAGTGAACAACCATCCAGGACGGTGGATTCAGTCAACATCTACGAAAGCGAATGAAGACATGCTGGTCAATTTTCGGACGCCCCAACCAAAATGGTTTAACTCATTGCATCTCCATTTAGTGGATATTTGGTGCTATTTTGATTATTTTTGATTCATATTCATCAACAGAAATCCTCCCCTCAAATAGCTCCTGCCAGGTCCGATCGACCTGACAAGCGCTTGCAGGCCCGATCGAGCGCTCCTGTTTGGAGTGTGCACCCACGGCGTGAGCACACGAGTTGTGGTGTTTCTTTGGGAGTGAAAGACTTGCTACTAGGAGCAAACATCGACCCACGAGCGTCGTAATGCATTTGCTATTTTGTTCCTATAGTAGCGCCCTTGCTCCTAGTAGCGATGCCACAAGCCCCTAGTAGCTTCTTGTTCCTAGTCGTAAGGCCAGGAGCCAGGGCCCCTAGTAACGTCCTTGCTCCTAGACACTTGTTGGGTTGACCATTGTCGAAGTATGTCGAAGGCCGAATTCATGCGCGAACTTGTTCGGCGACGCGCGGTGACCGTTGCCAGTTTTTTGGTGGGTCAGAAACCGCGGGTCAAAGGCTTGTGCATTATCATCCATGGCTCTGATGTAACACCTCAAGGATTGTGAAGATTAAACACGTTGTGAAGAGGCAAAACGCATCTCAATCCTTCAGGCAACTGAACACATTTCAATCCTTCAGGCCATCGCGATCCATCGCGCCACATACAAATGCTGCGTTAATTTGACATAATAATAATCAAAAAAACAATGCTTCTCTTCCAGGGCCCTGGAATGTCATGACATGTGCGTTGAAACCTTGCAGTTGTCATCTGTTGTCCTTCGCTGGTTTTGCAAAGGCATCCAAATACATGGGACGCTGGCAACATGTTGGGGTCATTCAACTCACTCCAAAGACGGCTATAATATAATATGTTGTATAATTACAACTCACAAAATTCCATGGGCATCGCCATCTTCCCTGCCTTGATGGGTGGTTCTTTACCAGGGAATCGAATGGAATCGACATACCAATTTCAAAGTGCTTGAGACATATCCCGTTTTGTCAGGCTTTCCAACGAGTTGTGTCCGACGGACCATGGTCTATTCCTTTCTCAACAGCCGGGCTGACCCGGGTCCAAAAGCTGGGTTGACTTTGACCTCCAACGAGTTAGTGTTTTTGTATGACCCCAACTGGTCCTCCAGGATTTCATCAGGTCCAACATGGTCCAACTTCTACCATCACAAACGTCTACGTCTACCCATTTACCCCATCGTCTAGAGAGGCTTCTCATGACGGTCTCAGGGTTCACTTTGCCTGGAAGCGTCCGATCATCTCAGCTTCGACTCGATCCACTCACTGGTCAAAGACAACGAGCGGAAGACCTGGTCGACGATCCGTGTCCGACGATCGGAATGCCCCAGTCTTGTGCCTCTCAAGATGGGTTCTGCATGCAGCGTTGCGCCCACTTGATAGTGAAAGTTGCAAAGTATATATGATTATGTATGTATACGAATCTAGATTTCTGAATTGTATAAGAGTAAATGATACATGCGCATATATATATATATACACATACCTAACATATATATATATATACATACAAGTCTAGTAGAGTCTAGTCCTTTTTGAGCCAGCTACGTGACACTTCAGGGACTCCAATGCTTTGGCCCTCCGTGCCTCCGCCAAAATCATATTGATGCTAAACCTTTGAGCAATGAGAGGACGTGAAAGGCATGGCACAGGTATGATACACCGGAGTTGATTTCTTCGTCCGGGCAAACGGCAAATGCTCTTCGTGCGAGATGACCTCGACTGTGATGCAGTCGATGCTATCTACTCGATGATGTGTTTCGAATCATCTGGATTCATCTGGTGTGCGCCTCAATGGAATGCCAAATTCATGAAGTTTCCCCAGTTCTGGACCCCTCCGTTTCCGAACATACAGGACCTGTTTGGACCTCTCTCCGCCCATTCGCTCTGAAGGGGGGGGGCTTTCCCCGTCTCACCCCCAAATGGTTGAAGGTTGTCCACCGACTGGGTACTGAGTTGGAGAAAGGATGTGGAACAACACCCCTGAGGTATCAACGCCCAGTGGCATCAAGTGTTGACCTCGGCCGGTCAAAAAAGAACACGGACACCATCTCTTTCGGAGAAGACCTCCAAACTGCAAGCATCCCAACAAACATAATCGCATGTCGTTGTTGTTGATGATGATGATGGTGCTGATGATGATATGCTGCTGCTGCTGCTGATGATGATGATGATGCTGCTGCTGATGATGATGTTACTACTACACAACTCAACAATGGATCAAACGACTGGCTAGTGTCTAACTCTCAGTGAGTGCCAACAAAAAATACATTGCTGTATGCAACATGCAGAAAACCCCAGTGTTCATCGTCCAAAAGACTGAGTTCGTCGCCCAACACGCGGTCCACCTGCGCCGAAAACCCCACGTTTTTGCCACGGGAAACGGCTCCCACGGGCTCCCACGGGCTCCCTGGAGGCGCTACGTACGCATGAAGTCACGTTGTAAGTCACCCCACGTCGCAGAACAAGTCACCCCAACTGCATGGAACTACGACTTAGAACAACTCGAGATGACATACAGCAGGAACCCAGTACAGTACAAGCAACTTTCCCCGGGCCTCCAAGAAACATCGATCTCATATGTCATAAATGTTGATCGTTCACAGGAGCGGCCCCGCCTGTGGTCGGTTCCGTCAAGCTTGGCTGAGCCTTGGTGCAAGACCAATCCAAAAACCACCTAAATTAAAAAATGTACATAGAAAAGACATGTAAACACTGCCTTCGTTACAACACCACAGTCTTGGAATTCTCCCACGTGTCTATTCTCCAGGACCAGCAACGAATTCTTATGCAATGACAATTAATAGCAATAATTCGCTCATATTAATATATATTGATAATATGGTAGGTCTTAGTGGGTGGTGCCACCAGCTCCAATGTCAGCACCCCAACTTCCGCCAGGTTCTTTCTCAACTTGACCCCCAAACCTGACCTGACCCCATGAAGGAATCACATGCAAGTCATTGAGGCCTTTTTTTGACCTGACCGCAGTCCTCCACAGACGTTTCGCGCCGCGACCGGCGCCCCCGGCACGCGTGACCGGCGCCGCGAGGCGGCGCCGCAGCTCGCCCAGGCGGCCTCAGCACTAAGGAGCTGTTCAACGCTGGCTTTATTGGAAGAGCTCTTTGCTTTTCAATCCTTTCTTGAGTTCAAAAAAGGAGCTATAGATGATACCGTCTACCACTGGGTCTACTCTTTCTTGCACCGTGACTGTTTCAAAGAACGACACACGTGAGGTTTCGATCATGGAGTGACTCACTGTATGGTGGTCCCCAAAATAGATAATATAGAGTATAATTGATGACCGTGGCACGGTTTCCAATGCATCTTTAGTGAGGATGTACGTTTGGCAAATCTCTTTTGGGGTCTGGGAAATCAGTAGAGCGACATCCCCAAAGTCTTGCGGGATCGAATCAGTGACTCAGGTCCCCGTGTGGGTTCCTTGGAAATCCCATCGCTCCTGGAGTGGTATACACCATGTCTGGTGTTGCTACAACAATGCAATCCAAAGTAGCTTCAAAGTGCAATCCTCCCCCACCAGCCCACCAACCCATTTTCTGACCATGTCTGGTGTCGTCTCTTCTCTTCTCTTCCAGTTCCGGTTGGATCCAGGACCAACGTCCTTCTCGGTGCCACACTGAAAGCGCCAACATCTGCTGACTGCACATGCGACTTTTCCTTGGCGTATGAGAGCACGAGCTGGCGCAATCCGCAATCATCACTTCAGCATTCCCGAACTTCGGACTTCGATCGTGCAGACGTATGTGTGCAGTCGAAGTCCAAGCAGGTGGTAGGAAAAACCAACGACGCATTTGATGAGTCCAGCCAGCTGCTCTAAGGTGCGACTGTAGGACGAAATGTTGTTGTTTTTGTTATCATGTTTTCTTCTCACGCGTCCTTTTAGTCCTTTTCACATCACCTTAACATTGGACCAGTGGGTTTTCCTCGTCGCATCGAGTTGTCATCGGGGCTGCGGTTTCATGGCAACTCGACTCACTCGACGCGTGAGACGACGCATATCAAAAAATGAACTTCACGCGTCGGTTTCGGTCGGTTTCGGGACCTGAACATCACGTTTGACAAAAAGAAAGAACAAACCACACGAACGGCCGGTGACCGCACGAACGTGACCAGTTCTCCAGTTCTCTTCTCATCAGGCGTTAAGCTCTAAGGGATGGACGGGAGAAGATTGCAATGACCTGGAGTGACAGGTGGACGCATTTCACAACCCCCTTTATTCACAACCGCCTTCAGGCCTATGGTTTCTTAGAAGAGGTGGGAAGAGAACCGAGGGTGGCCAAGTTTTTCATGACTGCAGATTTACCTATCCGCAGTGTGAAACCAACACATGACTGCCAAGGTTGACATGACTGCAGATCTGGCAGATCTCGCCTTCAAAACCGTTGACATCGTCGTGCGGTGCCGATTCATATCAGGCTTGACGCGAGGGTGTGGTTTTATATGGTTTTATGGTGTGGTGGCCAGGACGTGGTGTGGGTCACATTGGGACTCAAGAAAACATGCAGTCAATGTCTGTCTAGACACTGTCGACAGAAACGTTTGTCTCAATCAAGGAAATTGACACAACGATGGCTTTTGTGATATTCGACAGGTCTGTTGCGAGATAAGCGGGATGCAAAGCTGTTAAAACAGTGTAGATGTTGGACAGAAAAAGTACCGCCAATCAAAAGTCTTGCAGAACATATGGCATCCCTGCTTATAGTGTTTCTTATAATAACATATAAACTACAAACCAACACAGGGCAACTAGCCAATGCTGGTTCGAGCACAATTGGCAGGTTTCGTTGGAGACTGCGAGCATTGTCCAACATCTCCAATCGGTGCCTCGATGTATTCACGAGCTTCGCTGCATCATGTGACGTCGGCTCATCTGGAGACCTTGCAGGCAGCTTGTTCGGTCTCGCTGTCTTGCTGCAGTTGATGAAGCAACTTCAGCGCTTGACCCGTTCATCGACACATCAATTGACAGGTCGAAATATCTTGAAATCTAGCTGTTTGGATGAAGCGATTTCACCCATGAGGTTGGAAGGTTCACTCTCAACGATTATTAATTTGGTGGATATCCATCTACAGTATATCCAATTGTTCTCACTGGCCACCACATTGGCGACCGCTTCTCTGGGTCGTAGTGTTTAATGAAATCAGCAACCAATTCTCTTCATGACTTCCTGTACCATGTGCAGCCCCTGGTAACGAGTCATCACAGGTCTGCACAGCTCTTGCTTGACCAGCTGAGACTCTCAGCCTGAAAACCAGCCGTAAAACCCGGCCGTTACTTTTGAGACCGGCCTGTTTTGAGGTCGGGGCACTCGTCAGAAATTTGCTGCTAATCATATCCAATATCATCCTAAAACAACCCATCGTGAATCATGTGACCGAATGGAGTCACAGACCCCGGTCCTGAGCAAGGTCTCAGCTCCGAAGCTACCTGCAAGCTCAGGTGGTCTTTGTCTACTTAACAGCTGCAACATGTATCCTTGATTTGCATTTTTTTTGAATTGTAAAACACTTTGGCTCTGTCAATAAACAAACATAGTCCAAATTGGTCTAAATATCATTGAGTAAAGTTAAAACACACAACCTTAACTTAATTTATTTTGTAATGTATTGACACTGAACATTTGCAAATGTAAATCAGTTGTAAGACTTCAACAAATCGGAGTCTTATGCGTGTACGGTTTCACTCAATCAAACATCCAAGGAATTCTATCATATGTCATATGTCTGTTCCCCAAAAAACAACGGATGTCGCTGAACAGTTTGAACATGAGAAAACACACTCAGACTCAAATGTCAAACCGGAGTACAACAAATTGCATTGTATAAAAAAGGCATAATAAAGGGAGTTATATGTACGTATATACTAGGTTGGAATATTCCGCTTGCTTTCATCTCCGCATTGATTGCATTGCTGATGCTTGATGGTATGAATCACATGTTTCACACCTAGCGTATTTATCTTGTTTCATCAATTTTCCATAAAAATTGACCTTGAGCACAATTCATGTGTGTTTTGTTCTTTTCTTCGGTAGGCAAAAATAAGAAAGATCCTTCTTATTAGGAAAATCTCCATAGGGATATTGACACATCTGAAAACTCGACTTGGATACCAAGCTTTCTATCTTTTGGCCTTGAAGGTTGTTTTGACACTTTTGAGATTATTTGGCCACCATGGAAAGACATCCAAAAAAAGATTCTATTATAAAAAAAGAAAAGTATTTGGACATCTTGGACATTGCAAGGCTTGAATTTGTAGCTATTTCATGCTTCAAGCCCTACCCAAAGTCCTATTGTGAGATATTGTGAGTCATGGCCATATGCCCCCCAAACATGAGGACGGCACCCTGGACGCGGTTGAAGAACCGAGATCCACAAACCAAACTCTCACAGAGAAGGAAGCAAAGTCGGGTGCGGCGCTGGCCTCGCACGCTGTCCTGAGATCAAAGAACTGGGATTCTTCATCAAAGAAGGATACGCCAAAAACATCTAAAGAAACTGAAAAACACTTATTGCCAACCTATTGATCTCCCATCACTGCCATGACTCACAAGAAAGACTCAAGAGTGCACTCATTCCCATTTTTGGGTACTATTTCCGTCTCACATCAATTTGCTAGTTCGCTAAGTGGTGCTCTTTTCACATCTCTCAGTGCTGCACAAACAGCTCCAAACGTCCAGACTCATGATTCCTGGATTCGGGAGACAGCGTCCCCGATTTGCGCATCGCGCACGGCGGAAGCTTAAGGCTTGGCCCAAAAACACCTTGTGGCAGGAAAGTACCCTCTGATCTGCGCTGCGCTGCGCTGACTTCTTGGTCTTCCCATGACGGGTCTTTGAAAACATCTAGTCTATTCCCATCTGGGCTGCTCCCCAAGTGTTTCCCTAGTCTTCACATGTTTCTGGGCACCAAGACATCTTGAAATGCAACCCATCCCACCTTCTCAGAATCCGAGGAGATGCTAAAGGCTTCCTGACAGAATGACCGGCCGATGCACTCGTATGCACTGATTACAGCACTTATGAAACCTACAGTACCTGACACTCTATTGAATATCAAATGTCTGATCTTCATGCCGCACAAAGAGCCAAACCCATCCACTCATCCATTCCGTCTTCCCTACAAGGCCTACAGGGCCATTGTGAATTACATATGTCTGTGAGTTGGAGTGTACAAGAGTTACCCCAGGGCGCAGGAGGCGCAGGGCGGCGCAGGGCGGCGCACGGGGTCCTTGAAGCAGGGGTCATCGAAACCCCTATATCTCTGACTCCCTCAGTCTCAGTTTCCCTGGAGGTTTTTTTGGTTCACCTCTTCGGTTTGAGTGGGGTGTCCCGAGTTTCCTCCAATCCCCCAAGTTGTCGGTTCACCTCGTCAGACTGAGCCGCCGCGCACGTTGAGCTCTTGGGAACTTCCCACATTTCGTATCTCCTCAGCTTCGGGTACACGGCCCTGGCCCAGTCGGATTGAGTCCATCGAAAGAAGAGTAGGGGATGTGCACATTCTGAGTGTTCTCATGGGGGTTTTAAAGTATAAACCGTATATAATATTTTATATATCCAATGCACCCAACCAGCAGGGAGTTGGATCATGCGCACTGGCATGGACTCTGCTGTACTGCCAGTCCGGTGACTGTAGGTTAGGCCCGTTCCGCCCTTCCTCCGGTGTGGGGTGCCGGTTCACCGCTTCGGCCGACCGGACACAGCCCGAGTGGCGGTCCGCAAGTCATTCAGACTTTGTGCGGTGTCCGCACCTTGGGCTGAAAGGGCTTCCTGCCTCAGCAGGGGAAAAGACGAAACGCTCGAATTTCCGTGGTGACAGCCCATCGAACAAGGGCTGAATCACTGAAGAAGGAAAGGCTCGAGGCGCGGGGACCTCAAAGCATGCGAATGCGATTCTGCGCTCGTTTTCTCCAGCTCTTTCCCTCTCTCTGTTCTGGGTGATGTTTCCTCATGCTCACCGCAACGGCTACATCAAGCTACATAACCAGCTGCGACTGCTCCAAAAAGGATCCTTTCTTCACTTGAGGCTTCGGTTTCGGCCCTGGTCCGCATCCCCACCGCCTGGCCAAGACCCCACCGCGCCCCTCGACCGCTCCACCGGCGGCCGGACCCGGCGCAAAGCTCCTCCGTGGTCACCAGGAGGCGCTCGAAGTGGCTGCCCAGCTCCGCCTGCGGAGCGGGTGGTCGTTTGGTGGAGGGGATGGCATAAGAAAAAAGACCTATCGATTGGGTATACCACAAGTAGTATATCCCATTACCAGTAACAGTGGATGATGCCGACTGCTGTAAGTTAGTTACTGGTAATGGGACACCTATATGTGGTTGAAACGGCTAGGCCGCTAGGCCAACAACCTTTAAGAAGTGTGTTGGAAGCCACTCGAATGTACATTTTTTCGGTGGGGATGATATTTGCTGTAGGCCCAGCCATTCCCAACATGCAGCTGATTGATTCATGCTGATTCTATGCCAGCAAACCTCGCAATGGATTTGTGCAGCTGTCCTGATCTCCCATACTGATCACAGGGATCCGCCCTTTAAAACAGTCCAGTGCCAAAGCGTGCCATCGGGTTGGTGCTTAAAATATGTTTAAACTTCTTACACTTGCTTGTTGTTTAAGCTCTTACCCAGGTGAGTTGACAGTTACTGGGGTTTCGGCATCCATTTGAGGTTGAATTATTTCCATGGTTTTTATCAGGGGGGTTGCAAGATTGTGGCATGGACCAGTTGTCTGTTGACCAGCAACATGCCATGGTTCAAATGTAAAACATGTTTCAGTTGTGTTCTAGAACCGTGAGCAACCTCTATTTTTGGACTAACCAACCTCCCAAAGCCATCGTCCCTTTTCCGTCCAAAACAGGGGTCAATGTCTGGGCTTGATGCGCTGACCGTCGCTCGAAACCGTGGACCGTCGGAGGTGGACCGTCGGCGCCGCGCACCGGGAGCACCTCAGTTCGCCGGCTGGTGTGCATGGTAGCTGCCACCTGCCGCTTCGTGTCATGTAACTGGACACAGGGAGACATATGCTTTGCACATGTCACGGAAAAAAAGGTGCTTTAGACCCCCTATCATTCCCAATTTAGGACAGTAGGGAGTAGGCATGGGTAAAGATATGTATCCAAACATCTGCAAACCACCAGGGATGTAATAGTTTCTAGTTTTGCAATCCCAAAGGTGTGCAGATGCTCTGAAGACTAGCGATCCTCTCACAGCACATGTTCACAAGTTTGACAAATGCCCGAAAGCACACAACCACAGCTAATATTTAAATACGACCAGCTTCAAAAGAAGCTCTCGGCCAAGCAAAGAATCCCTTAATTATATAAATGATTCTCTATGATTCGCAACTCCTCGGCAACTCTACCCTTTGCGACCTCAGAGAGTTTCTCCTTGATCGGATCCAACTGCTTCATGACCTGAAGAAGGCACATGAATCGATCAGTGCCAAGCTATCGAGGGCACCCGAAGCGCATCGAATTCCGCCCAACTGACGCGATCAAAACGCATGCTTATCACCGCAAACCTGAGAATTTACACCTGCCAAGTCCGACAGCAACTACATCCTAAAATGGAGAAATGTGCAGGGTTGGCCCTTCCAGTAGATTATGTATAATTATCAAGAATTCCTTATGTGAACAAAGGAATCCATCATATTATCATTCATTGTGCATTAATGTGCATTATATGTTTTCATGCAGGGCACAACACAGCCATGCCTCAGCCGACCTGAGATCCCTTCGGTTCAGCACGTCGGTCAAAATCTCAGAAACGACACTGGGTCGAACAAACAATGACAATAACATACAAGCACCAACCAACCTCTTCCGCCCCCCCAAACACCGCCCTACAAACAAAAAAACATTAAAAAAAGGAAACTGAAAAAAAAAAACAATAAACAAAACAAAAAGAATTCATAATAACAACATAAGCATAATAAACAACCATGGACCATACGTTTCGACCTGCACGTTCCCGCCAGTCTTAACCCCCTAGAATCGCCACCGCCACTCCGCCCCGACGGCCCGTTCTGCCTCCAGGCGCTGCTCTTGGAGCGCTTGGCGCCACGCGGCCGACGCGGCCACGACTTTCTCTTCGCACGAGGCCTGGATGACGGATGGAGTTGGAGCCCAAGTAGTTGGAGGGGATGAAGTTGGGGATGGTGCTGGGAGTGAGGGCCGAGTGATAGCAACAGGACACCACTGGCAGGAGCTTTCTGGCTGAAGAGACCCAGTTGATGGATTTTTAGGGAGGGAGCTGTGAAATCCCGGGTGGTTGTTGGGAAATGGGAAAAAAACAATAAACAAACGGTCTCTGGAAGAAGGGGTGCGGAGGTCGGGGTGTTGAAAGTAGTTTTAGTATGTTTTTGGTAGAGTGTTCTTCAAGGGTTTTCAGGATCCTGGGTCTTGGAGATGCTTCGATTGGAAGTGGTTCGCGGCATTTTGCACTTCGAAAGATCACCAGGTATGTATCCCTCCATCAAGCATGGAAGCGGAGGACGACGATATGAAAACATGACCTGTTTGGTGATCAGAACACCTCAGAACATCATCTTCCTTTTGGGACCAACCCCCTCCATGGTTTGTTGGAGCAATCAATCGCGATTTCTTGGATAAATAGATGTAAATAGGATCATCGAGCAGTTTGGATGGAGGACTGGACTTGACTTGCTGGTAGTAACCGCCCAAAGAAGAAAGGCCAAACCAAGTGGACCCATTAGCCGCCGCGGGTTCGGTGCCCATACCGCCGCGTGCCACTTCGTTTTGCTTCAGGCCGTGGTCAGTGCTGATGTTTTACAGCTCACCAGGCACTCGGCACCGTCTTTCTCGGCACTGCTGATGTGTTCCAGTCGGCTGGCCGATGCAAGGCGGGGTCGGCTCCACAATCCATCGCGCAGTTTGCACCAAGCCCATGAGATTTGGAGAGGTTCAGGTGATTCTATGTGATATACATGCCCCCAAAGGGAGCAACTGGGTCTCTTCAAGCATGGCGAGCCAGCATTTCCAAAACGAAGTACTTAGGAATAATGAAAAAACAAAGACGATTACGTCTTCACCAGCACCAGAACCAAGTTTCCGTGTGCAATGTGATGTTTCTACAAACAGCCGCTTCAGGGAAAGCGGCGGTTTTTCTCTGACCTGAACTTGAACAACCTTAAATCCATCCATGCCTGGTCTGTTTATCATTCAAAACATATTGTAAAGTAAACACAAACAATGACAATGCGACGCATAGTCAATCCTCGCTGTTTTTGGTCAATCACGTTCAGTGAAGACGTAGCTATGAGTCGTGAAGTTCGTTGAATAATCGTGAAAAATGGTATACTGAATGGCTGTCTTTGATGGAGCCAAGTCTGATCCCAGCCAGCCGGAAAGCGGAGGACAGCAGCTGCAGATGACCGGAGGTACATTTTGACGTCTAATTGAGCAACGCAGCTCAAGAAGCCACGCTACCTTTTGCCTCTCATGCCAAGTCGTTGATAAAAAACAACTAAAATGCAACCTCTGCAAGTTTCTTAGATTCTCTAGTCTCTAACTTGCCAATTCAGCAGGTCCAATGCCCAAAACACAGCGGTTTAACATAATTAATTGAATTCTTGATGAACTGAATGCTAACTATTGTGGTCCGAAATCTGACACCACCCTGCAAGGTACTTTCCAATGCTTTCCCTCTCTCGCCTACAGTGTGCCCTTGCCGGAACTCAGTAGACTGAAAACTGAAAATAATTGGTAGGTACGGTAAAATTGATGTATTATTTCCTTTGTATTATATACAGTGTATATATATATATGTGTGTGTATTAATATATATATATATATTAATATTAATGTATATATGCAAAATGCATTGTGTTTACTCTGTTGTAGTGGTAAACGATAATGCCAAATCGTGCTCTGCACCTCCACTTGCAAGGAGCAGAGATGAACAAAGTAAAGAAACATTCAACTAAGATTTTGCTCTTTGACTTCAAACTTCGTAGGAATTCTTAGGAGTTTAGTATTTCATGTGTTTTCACACGCTCCTTCGCCCCTTTGAGAGTGCCGAATTTCAGCACCAGCAAAGCAGCCGCTCTTGATAGCCAAGTGTCGAAGAGCAGAATGCTGCTTCTGTTTCAAGTGCCGTTGACCCAGAATGTTTCTGGCCTCACATATGCCATATATATATATAGTTCCAAATCACCTGAAACAAAAGCAATGGAACCCAGTGGGCTGAGTGAGATGCCGTCAATTCAGGATGCAAGATCCGATCGTCCGTGACTCCCACGGCGCGACTCCCATGCATGGGGCATCCAACAGCCAGCAGTACTGCTGGACACCCGGACACGCCTTCTCAGTGCCGCAAAGATGAACTCCTCCGGCCTGAACAGCGGAGTGGCACACAACGGCCCGCGGCTGCGCAATTGATCCAAAGACGTGCGGTTTCTTTACTTCGAGTGATCACCACCCCGAGGGGCGATTTGGAAGAAGGCACGGCACATGTGTTGACGGATTGTCCTGACAAGCCCTGCCTGATATGTGTATGGACACACAATACTGACACTTGTTCTGGCATCCAGTCTGGAATGTGTTCTGACGTCCTTGTTGGCATGTGTTCCGACATTTGTCCTGAAATGAAGTCTGACATGTGCTCTGACATATCTTCTGGCATGTACTCCTGACACGTGCTCTTGCACCAAACTGACAATTCTATCTGGCATGCCTTCTGACATTCTAACTGGCATCCTTTCTGGCACTCTACCTGGCATATGTTCTGACATCCTTTCTGGCATTCTAACTTGCACCCTCCCATCTGGCATTCTAAAACATCTTCTAGCATTCCAACTAGCACATCTTCTAACATCATTTCTGGCAGAATAAAGGCATATCTTCTGACATCCTTTTTGGCGTATCTTCTGGCATTCTAACTGGCGGCTCTTCGGGCATCCTTTCTGACATTCTTATGTGGCATATCTTCTGGCATCTTGTCTGCCGCTCTATCATATCTTCTGGCATTCTAACTGGCATACCTTCTGACATACTTCCTGGCATATCTTCTGACATTCTTGCTGGCATACCTTCTGACATTCTTTCTGACATTCTGAATTCTACCTGGCAAACCTTTTGAGTTTCTAAGCAGCACATCCTCTATCATCCTCTAACATCGTTTCGATGGTGTGCAGGTCCGTCCGCTCTCTATGTTGTGCGGGTCCGTGTGTGTGCCCAGACTGAGCTGGCACTCGCGGTGATGAGGAACAAAACAACACACATCAGGTCCAGGTCGTTGAATAAGTCGGAAACAAAGTGACGGAGTGAGCTTACCGCCAAGCGGTCCTTTGACACTTCGGAAACACGCATGAACAATTACAATCATGCACCTTTTTGGGGAAGTGAATGGATAGGTCATGAGTGACCCTTAGCTGTCCAGCCATCCAGCAAATCGTGGAAGGTCTAGATATGTCTAGATGATTCTAGATGGTCCTTTGTCTTAGATGGTCGGTCAAAGAGATGGGTCAGGTCATTCGATCCTTCGAGCCTCCCCCGGGTGCGGTGCCGCACTGCTTACTTGTACCTGCCAGTGACAAGAGGGTCACTGTTCCACACAATGCAGGTGTGGCTTGGCTTGTTCTGGCTTGATTGCATGTTGAAGACACTTTGGCAGTTCTGTGCATGTGTGAAAATGGCTGGTGCTTGCCTCTGCAACCACTTCCGCCCCCCAATCAAATCGGGATCTGGGACCTCGGAGGCAGCGCCCTTACATGGTGGCGCTTGCGCCACCCAGGGGTCACTTGGAGGATTTGGCCATGAGGTCGTTGACGTTGATCAGGCCTCAGCATCGGTGCTTTCCCGGATGCGACCCGATCCGGGCGGAGGCTTCCAACAAACGACCGAAATACACCTGGTGCGGTGTCCGGATTTTGGAGGGAACATAGATACCACTGTTTGGTGGGGGAGCAGCCCGCTGGCGAGAAATGGAATAGCCGAAAGCTCTGTCAACCAGTCATGTCATCCCCCAAGAAGTCTGCCATGGTATGCTCAGACACTCCAAACGGCCCTTGCTCCCTCAAACCTAGGGATTTGAGACCCCAGACCGTCAGACCCCTCCAGAGGATTCGGGGTCCGACCCCCTCCAAAGGATTCGGGTCCAGGGTCGGAACCTCCGGGTGGTACCTTTTGGGATTTGGGGCATCATGCGACTGAGCAACGTTTAAAGCTACGACTGTCGATGCTGAGAAGCTTTGCCTGCGCACGGTCAGAGGCGGGGTGGCGTGATGAACCTGGTCAGTTACTATCGTGAATGTGCCAACACATCCCATCCTCTTCTACCAAAGACTTCTATGATCTTCTATACTCATTCCCAACAAGTGCTTGGGCTAGCTACGAGTACTGAAGTAGCATGTTGACTTTTAACCTGCTCTTTCCTAAGCACTGCATCACTATGTTGAAGCAGCTGGCGCAGCATGTTTAGTCAGTGGATACTCAGCACCTTGGACACCCACTTCTTTGGAATATCTCAAACACATTGAAATGATGAACACGTATTCGACGTCTCAGCTGAACATCATTGACAACACCATTACGCAAACACTCTATCTATGGATATCTATGGCATATATTTACCCACCTTGGGGAACGGTTTCATGGGTCACTGTATCTTTGTTAACGCTCCCAGAATGTAGACTCTTGATGAACAAAATTTCCCAACATGTGGATTCAGGCCTGGGGAGGTTGAAATACAATCAGTCCAGTGAATGAGGAGTGTCTTTTTCAGCTGAACCATGAAGAGCAAAGAGACCACATGTTTGGTCGACCTACAAGGGTATGATCTCCGATCTGGGGCATCGGCCGTGACCCTCTCCACCCGACCCATGGTGTGGAGTCCAAGACCGACCACCCATCGACTACGGGTGGCTCACCACGTGCGTTGGTCCCGTGCCTCACCCTTCGAGGTCACCGTCGCCGCACGCGGCTTGTTGTTGATCAACGCCTGGGCAGCGGATGTTTGGAGGGTCGCGGCGCCGGGAGGGGTGGAACTGAAGACCGCAGCATTGAGGTGGCTCAAAGATGAGGAAAGGACAGTCCCACCCGAAACTTGAGGCACATGTTAAACTGATGATACTTTTGGATAC